GTCAACGTGCACAAAGGCGACCATGGCCTCTCCAGAACTGCAGCAGATGAGCGACGAAAAAGTCACACCTTACAGACCAGCCGATGAAGAGGTTGTCTCCATGAAAGGCGAGACGCTCGAGTCTCATGAAGTCTTCCAGCAGACAGATGATGGCGTTCAGTTCAGAACTGTCAGCTGGCAGCGAGCCACCATCATCTTTCTCAAGATCCAGTTCGCCATGAGCATTTTGAGCGTGCCTGGTGCGTTTGCGACGCTTGGTGCTGTTGGAGGCGGTCTGTCTCTTGTTGGCTGGCACACTCTGAACACCTGTAAGTCACTTGTTCAATTGGGAAGATAAAGAGATCCACTTGACTAATGACTCTTTTGTAGACACTGCATACATTCTGGGCGAATTCCGAAACCGTCACCCCGAGTGCCACAGTACGTTCCTAACCCCCCCTCGAAGCTTATACCATTAGCTCTAATAATGTGAATAGCACTCGCTGATATGTGCGGTCGTCTCTGGGGCCGCATTGGCAAAGAACTTGTTGGTCTTCAAATTCTGGTCGCCCAAGTCCTCATTTCCGCTGCCGGCATCGTTTCCATCTCGACGGCATTCAACGCCATCTCCAACCACGGCGCCTGCACAGTTATCTTTACCCTGATCGGCGCGATCTCAATTACCTTGGTCTCCTCAGTACGAACCTTCAGCCGCCTTGGCTGGCTTACTTGGATCGGATTCTTCACATTCTTCGTGGCTGTCTTCATCTTCGTTGTTGCGGTTACCCAGCAAGATCGCCCTGCAATGGCTCCTCAGACTGGTGACTACGAGCTGGGTTGGACTGCCATTGCTCACCCTACCTTTGTAGCGGGCATCACTGCCTCTGCCAACATCTTAATCAGCAATAGCGGATCATCTATGTATCTTCCTGTGCTGTCGGAAATGAAGCGCCCTGAGCACTTCAAAAAGGCCGTGCTTGTCACAGGTGTCCTCGTGCTGGCCATGTACCTATCTTTCTCCCTCGTCATCTACAGATGGTGCGGCGTTTGGCTGGCAACCCCCGCCTTCGGAAGCGCAGGTGCACTCTTCAAGAAGATCTCGTACGGAATTGCGCTTCCAGGTCTTATTATCGGTGTCGGCATTTACCAGCACGTGGCTGCCAAGTACATTTTCGTCCGAATCCTCCGCGACTCCTACCATCTTCAGGAGAACACTATGGTCCATTGGTCTACCTGGATTGGCAGTAATCTTATTCTCGGAATCCTTGCTTTTATCGTTGCCGAGGCTGTCCCTATTCTCAACTACCTCCTGGGTCTCGCAGGAGCCGTCTGTTTCGCTCCCTTCAGCTTGATCTTCCCAGCTCTCCTCTGGATGCAAGACTTTAAGCATTATAGAACGGGTAACTCATCTAACAAGGCGAAGTATTGGTCTCATGCCCTCATCGTACTCGTTGGATCGTTTATGGTCATTGCCGGAACGTAAGTCAATAAATCATCACCCCTGTAATATGTGCCATAGCTAACCCCCTTGAAGTTACAGTGTGGCCGTGTCCATCCAGGATGCCTACCGATCCGGTCTGATTGCGAAGGTCTTCGACTGTGCTGATAACTCTGGAACCATCTCTTGAGCCGCACAGTAGCGTATCGTGGGTCGACGCATAGTGGCCGATTCGGGAAGGAAATGGAGGGGTGCCCTAGCCTAGTTGTGAATAGAGCACACGTTCTTGAAGTGGCGTTCGTATATGAAGTAGCGTAAGATAAGGGATTCAGTATTTATATGATGTCTGCATTTGTGACTCTACCCGCCCTTCAAAAAGGGATAGGATATCCGCTTATTAAGTGCGTTATCCGATGCGCGGGCCGCGTGATTCTTCAATGTCACGTCGGATAGCGCACTGTCCCACCTGGTCGACGCGGTTAAACCGATCACTCAGAGATGCTTAGTTTGATCGATCCATGAGATTCTTTGTGTAGCATTTCAACATGCGCTTGGCTCCTTATCCGCGCTACTTTGGTTGGAAGGCCTCCTTCTTCGTGCTCAGTGAAGTCGTAATAGTATGTAACTAGACATCATCGGAACGTAATCCCAAGCGAGTGTATATTGGTATCTAAAGCGAATGTATACGATAATTGGAGAGTATAACGCGAGTGCATGCCCTAACCAGCCAACCCCTACCATTTCATGTTCTCGTGAACACATCGTGTTGCCATCGCCCTCTCAAGAAAGGCCCTTGGCAATGTTGGCATACTGCGAGTTGGGGTAGCTCAAACAGTTGTTAGTGCTATCAAGAGTTCCAAGCTTCTTGGAGCTGGTACCGATCAACGAGTCAGCACCAGTCTTGTCAGCAGACGCCTCCCAGAACATGCTGCCACCAAGGCTAAGGTTCTTGATGTAAAGGACCTTGTTCTCGACCATACCAGGGGTGTCAAAAGAGATAAGTTCCTTCGTGTTGGAGTCATAGCTGTAAGAGGCTTGAGCATCGCGATCATAGACAAGACTAGCTCCAGCTTTGGGCAAGGCCTTGTAGTCCCAGATACCATTCTCCCAGCTTCCAGATCCGACACCAGAGTATGTCTGTCCGAGGCCAGCGGTGTTCTCAAATGCCCGACCGTATATGGGCATGCCGAGGATCATCTTAGCAGAAGGAACACCACCGTTGACGTAAGCCTTGACGGCCTGGTCAGTGTTGAACGGCGTAGCATTAGGGATCTTGGTGTTGGCATATTTGTTAGCTTGATGACCGGAGAAAGCGCTCCACGAGCCGGCGTAGTCGTAAGCCATGAGATTAACATGGTCGAGGACGGAGCCGAGGTCCTTCATCTTGAGCTTGTTGTAGTTATCAGGACCTGCCGGGGCAGCGATCGAAAGCTGGAAGTGATATCCGCTGGCGTATTGCTTGGAATAGGAGTCGAGCTCGCTGCGCACGGCCTGGAGTAGAAGGATCATGTTACTAGCCTCGGTAGCGTTGGCGGGGTATTCCCAGTCGATGTCGATACCATCGAAGCCCCAGTCTTTCATGAGAGTAACGGAACTCTTGGCGAAGGTGGATCGGGCAGCAGCTGAGGCAGAGGCGGCAGGGAAGTTGGTTGACCAGGTCCAGCCACCGATGGACAGCATGACTTTGAGTTTTCGGTTGGCCTTCTTGAGGAGGAAGAGCTGCTTGACACATCCGTAGGCGTTATTGCCGGGCTCCTCCCAGGCTATGTTGAGTCAGCATGCTTCTCCAGTATCAACAGGCAGCTGCGCTTACAGTCACCAGTGTAGTGCTTCTCAAGATCGGCATACGAGTCACCGGTATACCTGTAATCTGTCAGCGCCTTGTAAAGTATTGAGTGTGATATGTAAATACTTACACGGTGCCATCAGCTCTCACATTCATGAAAGCATAAAGCACGTGAGTCAGTTGCGATGCGGGAAGGTTCTGGGGTTGAAAGTTACGCCCGTAGATACCCCTGCATGCGATGAGTGAATGAACCAAGAGCACGTGAGGAGGAAGACAAACCAGTTGACAAAGTAGACAGCGTTGACACTGCCGGTCGCCTCCTCAGAGATGTCGTCGTTATTGGCTGGTACGACAAGGGCTGGAATGCCAGAAGTCATATCGTCGAGTGCGACCATTGTGAATGTTAAGTTGCGCTAGCAGAAATGTTTATAAATATTGTAAGACTGTGATTCGAGGTTGTGATCTTGATTGATCGTTTTTCTGCTAAGTACCGGTCTTGGAGAGCATTATATACGACTGAAATCATTCTTAAGAACATCTCGTCAAATGTAGTATCCGAAGATAACAGAGGACCTGTCATTCTCCAAAGTCATCAACACGACTCAGCAGGGTCTTGAAAGACATGTTGAGTTGCAGCGTTGGGAGAAAGAACAGGTGCAGAATAATCAAGTGACTTTTGCACCGCTGTGATGACTCTAATTGCAGTGAAAAGTCGATTGTAGCCGTGGCTAATGGACAGACTGCGCTCAGGCTCAGACATGTCCGGTTGCAACGTTGCAGATCTGTTTCAGCAACGACGACGATCGCAGCGACTGTCAACAACACATGGCAAAAAGAGCTCCCGGAAATAAAGAAACAGAATATTGGTATCAGACTACTCATGAGCCAGAGTCGGGTGATAAAGTCGGTCGCGATTCACCGTCGCATTGGTTTGACAATAGGGCTGCTAAACAGGCTTGCTCCGATAAGGTTGGCGACGGTAGAAGAAACATCGAGATAAGGTAAGTGGTCGCACGTCACTTGATTTATGTCTGGTAGTGGCGATGTAACCCAAAGCGGAATTTATTCTGTAATCTGGTGTCTTTTATCGTAGTTGCAAACTAAGGTAGTATTCGCAAGAGCGTGCGTGATGCGGGCACCAGGCTACTGAGCTGGCACGACGAGTGACATCCTCTTGAAGCAAGCGATCAGGCTAAACTTCGAAACATCTTCTTCCTCAGGTCCCGGACTATCGAGCCAGATGAAATTGACAGACTATCCTATGGTAGAAGTAACGTAGTGCCTCAGAGGCATTCGGATGACTATCGAAATGCATCCCCGGCATTTGCAAGAAGCCATCATCTTGGCAAACCCCCTCGGAGATTTCCAAGCGCCCAAAAAAGCTCTCGTGATCACTTCATCACCCCGAAAATCCCAATACTACATACATCAATGTCTGATCTCAAGTTGCCATGGCGTCTGCATTAGGAAGGTGGCTAACCAATGGGACATTGACATCCAAACAAGACATTTGAGCAGGTGGCGCATGTCTCACTCCTGAGTCGGGTCTAACTGATAAAGGAGATCCCTTCAGCGGTCAGATATCAACACCAGCAAATCATATTGCAACGATTGCCAGCCAGCAAAGAATTCGGGCCGGGCCATTACTCGATGTTGATGGAAAGTCCGGGGCACGAGGAGACATGGTCATTCGTTTTCCAGAGGAAGATAAGAATCCTGATTCCATGTTTTTGAACTGATACCGAAACTCGATGTTCTCACATCGCACACAATATGCTGTCATCTACCAGTGAAATATTACGCAAAAGATGGTATAGTGCTGTTTGAGCTAAGCCCAATACTGAGAAGATCCATATAATTCACCAAAACCTCACTATCAGCATGAAGATCCTGCTGCACCCAAATAGCCTGAATGGCATTCGTCACCGCCTTCATGCTTCTGACCCGTGCATCGCGCTGAGTTCTGTCAATCAAGTTAAGAATCGCAACCCGCTGATCGTCTCTCCCTGATTCACAAGCGAGAATCAGCAGAGGGAAGAAGTGGATGCAGGTACACGATGCCACTGGCCCCTCAAACAGTGCATCTATCAGCGAGTCTAGAAGAGCGGGTGCTTCCCATGGACTCTGTGAAGCGCGCGCTATATATATTCGTGTTGCTACGCGATAGAGTTCCAAGGCGACTGCGCTTTCGGGGTTTAGACTATTCGGGATCGGGCTGGCGATGAGATCGTCGACCTGCGTTTCGAGCCGTTGGAGTGAGTTGCGATATTCCGGGCTGTGACTTTTGGGATCTTTTGGATCGATTAAGATATTGCATGCTTCAAACAGAAGGCTCATTATCGATGATGTTGGATCTATAGAAGGGTGACTCTGGAGATTGTTTAGCTACTAGACTTAAAATTATCGTGGTAAGCTTACGGGTTTGTATATTGACAATGAAGACATGGCTACATGACCAGAGCGTTGGGCCGGTATGGTGAACGTGTTCTGAGCCAATGCTTTGTGTCGCCAGTGCTGTGTGCTGAAGCGTGAGAGCGTATGATGATAGTTGACCCAGTCAATGACAGCGTAGGTTTCAATCTCAGAAGAACGATCGCTGAGTTGCGTAGCTTGAATAACGTCCACAGCGCCCCAAATATGCCACAGCCATTCCCCTGAACTATCAGAAGGGCGTAATGTCTTGGACATCAGCAGGGCCTCGATAGTCTCCGGGATCACGTACCTCAAATGATCCAAGCAGCATGGAAGCAGCCACGTGCTGGGAGGCATTCACCAAGGACAATTCTCCATCTTCGGCGGAAATAGAGAGCAGGTGAAGTGCCTGAACTTTGAGCTTGAGAGCTGTTTCGCTCAGGTCGTGCTGATGAAGGGAAGAATAGGCTAGCATAGCATGTAGAAGAGCCGAGGATGAAGTACTGTCGTTAATCATGGCCATTTTCATGAGTGCATCACGTATGCCAGCCGCTGGCGTGCTGAATGTGACCAAAGATAAGTGCGCTAGGTCATGAACTAACACGAGTCAGAAGATATGGACATCATCAAGGCACTGTAGCCCTAACAGTAATGTAACAGTTCATTCTGATTGGCATGTATCGCGGGGTGTTTTAGTGATTTCGAAGGTTCAATAGGTACATGGGCCTGGCCACACTGTGAAGATAGGTAATTATGTAGCTCGACATCGCGAAATGATGTATTGATCAGGAAGAGGCGACTGGGTATCTCGCTTGTCTTTTGAGGGGACACAGACGCTTGCCTTGCCGTAGTGCATACCATCGCCCTCTTCCTGTCATTGATTCGGGGCCACGATAAACGAGCTTCATAGCCTTGACAGGTCAATTGAGACCGCTTGCATTTGTCACAATACGGTCGGACTCCGTCGCATTGAATCTTGCGAGCTGATGCTGATGCTTAGTGATTACCAATTCGTTAGTCGCTTTGCCAACACTAACCTGCGCAAGTCCAACAGCTTTTTCGGGGTTTCATCTCAACAAATCAACCCGAGACACCGATTGATTTCGTTTCCAATAGCAGATATCGTACGGTAGGTGAAAGCAGTGAGATCTCAATCTCTCGGTCAAAGTTGCTGGTGATGGGGTCTCTCAAATGATAAGCAGGCCCAGAATTTGTCATCAGCACTAAGTTTAGAAGCACCAATGATCGGTTGAGGCGACATTCCCCTGTCATCATGGCCCCCACTGGAAGCAACTTTTATCGAAGCTAAGATCGAGTTCTTCCTTACGCTATGCTTCAATGATGACCGGACTTTTAAGATGCTTGCGAAGACTCCGTCTCCAAAGAACTGCCGGATCATGTATCCGTCACCTTAGAGCATATTAGAAATCACTATGGAATGAGGAAATTGTTAGAATATGGCGGGGACCCGCGGAGGATAATAGGCAGTATATATACAGCTGGAAATTAGCTGGAGAGCAGACTTAGCCCGTCAGACTGCCACTACCATAATCTCTTCTCCCAAAGCTGTGATGTCTTTCTATCTCGTCACACAGGCCACTGGCCAACAAAGCCAATGGGTCATCAAGCATCTACTCGAAGCTGGCCACAAGATCCACGCCGTCGTGCGCAACATCGAAAAGATACCAGCACTGCTAAGTGACCCGAACATCACTCTCTTCCAGGGAGAAAGCAGAAGCCTCGACGATATCTTCAAAGCTGCTCAGGGCTGCGAGGCCGCTTTTCTCAACACCGTTTCCTTCCCTGGCTTGGAGGTCCTTCAGGCCAAAACAATTGTCGAAGCTTGCGAGAAGGCTGGCGTCAAGAACCTCATCGCCGCTACCGCCATTTGTACAAATCGAAAAGATATATGGGATAATGAAGGTGTCAAAGCTATTCCTCGTCTCCATGAATACTATGCTTCTAAATACGAGGTTGAAAATATTGTTCGCACTGGAAAGTTCGAATCATACACTATTCTCCGGCCCGCACTTATCCACTACGACTTCTTTATCCCAAATGCCTACAATAACTTTCCACGTCTCCCAACAGAAGGCGAAATTGATGATCTTCTCGCTGATGGGGCCAAACTCCCTTACACCGATGCTCATGACGTGGGAAAGTACGCTGCTGCGGCCCTTCAGGATCCTGCCAGATTTCGGGGCCAAGAAATTGACCTTGGAAATGAACTGTTCGACTTTGAGGGGGTTAGGAATATCCTGGTCATGGTCAGTGGTAGAGAAGTCGGAATTGTGAAGCGCATCCCTGAAGAGGTGGAAAAGTTGGACATCGGTGTTCATGGCCACATGTTTCAGCATTTTGCCAACTTGAAGCCCTTTGGATTTGTCGAGAGAGGCGCCAAAGAGGTTCAGAACAAGTTTGGTATTCACTTTACTTCACTTGAAGACGCTTTACGAAGGGACAAGGATAGACTCATGGAGTGTATTCCAGCCAAAAAGGGGGCTTAATGAGGGGTTATAATGAGTTGTTTCGTAGGATCATAGCCAAATGATATTTAGTAGTCGAATGACAAACAGAGTTCATTATGCACAGAGCCAACCAATCTCAAAAGGATAAAATAAGGGCATCGCAATACCCTGATGAGTATAGTCCTACTGAGATCCTCTGCAGATATACAAACATAATCTTATATGTTATCAAGAGTAAACTAGATGACGTGAGTGATTTTTTGTTGAATGGTTGCTGGACATGTCATTAATTGAGCTTCTCAAAGCTTTTATCATTTTGCACCGACAGGCTACAGACTCGTAAGCTCTAACATTAGCTGCCGTACTTGGGTGACATCAGAAGGCGTTTCTCGGTAACGCCCCTTTCATCCATTTTTCTCACGGCGGTCAAATGTGGCTCTCCGCCATCAGATCCACAACAGGCCGCTTGTTGTATCGGACATCCGCAATGATGATCCAGAATAGTCCGCAGATGATATGCAAGAATTCCCGCCTAGTACAATACCTACAAATTAACAGTCAATTATAAAAAGGACGTCACTGGGTCTTAGATCTGTTGACTTGGCATACCTCCTCGCCTGCTTCATACATCTTCAAACCATTTCCCGATCATGTCAAACGACGCCGAATCTCCTCCTTTCGTATACACGCCCGTACCACTAACGAATAAATTGCATTCAGCTGTGTATGATGCTATAGATCCTTCACAGCCTTCGCTTTCCCAAGATGGGAAGACAGTTCTCATCACCGGTGGATCTGCTGGTATCGGCTATGCCATTGCCGAGAACTTTGCTTTGGCTGGTGCAAACAAGATCATCATCACTGGCAGAACTCGCCCAAAGCTTGACAAGGCAATAGAAAGCCTCGCTCATGATCACAGCGACCGCGACACCAAATTTGAAGGGGTAGTCTGTCAAATGTCTGATTCCAGCAGTATTGATCATATGTTTGACAACTTGGGTGCAAATGGTGATCACGTCGATGTCTTGGTCCTCAATGCTGCTCTCAATGTTGAGGGGTCATTGTCGGATCATGGCTGGGAGAAGACGTGGGAGCAGTTCATGGTCAACACTCGCGCGCTGCATCAACTATGCGATCGACTACACAAGCAAGAACAGGGAAAAGGAAAGGTATGAAGCCATCTCTCTCTCTCTCTTCTATTTCCCACCTCCTGCCCTCGCTTCACAAATTACTGACAGCCTGGAACATAGTACTATATAGTCAACGTCTCATCTGGTGCCATCCATGACTCCCGCGGCCCTAAAAACTTGGCTAGTTACTCCCTGACCAAGGCATCTGGGACTTTGGTGGTCCAGAGACTCGCAGACGAGAAGGAGCCCTCTCAAACTCAGATCACCAGCTTTCACCCAGGCGCCATTCTGACAGATCAAGTTCGCGATAAAGGGATGGCAGAAACGATAGTGAACTGGGATGACGGTAAGTTTTGTGATGTGTCTTTGCAATACAAACATGCCTAATGGTTTTTAGTGAGTCTTCCAGGCGCGTTTGCTGTATGGTGCGCGTCAGATGAAGCTGCCTTTTTGCATGGTCGATTTGTGTGGTCAGCTTGGGATGTCGAGGAGTTGAAGAGTGGATCGATCAGGGATAGGCTTGACAAGGACGGTAAATTCCTTCGCATTGGTGTTCATGGCTTGTAGTGGCAGATCACCCAAGCCCTCAAGTGCGAACTTGCATGTACTGCTGTTAGGGTGGTGATAAGTCATACACCCACTTGGCCCCATCGCTGCAAGGCTTCTTTATCGTGACGAAGCCAAGTATTCATGTCGGCAAGCCCTTGGCCCGCAGCGCGCAATAGAACCCCTAGATCATCCAAGTCACCAGGCATTGCGTCGCGAATGTCTTTATGTAAGCGAATCATATTGCATGGCAGCGAGGGATGCGCAAAATCGTCGCAGACCAAACGCCATTCCGCAGCTGACTTGGCTTCCCAAAGAGCCTTCTGCGCGTTAAATCTTAGGTCGTGATTGCACCGGAGACCGATGGGCCAGTTCCCTCGAAGATAAGTGTAGGTGCCCTGTGCAAGCTCTATGCACAGTAGCGTGCGACGAATGGCTTCTTGCTCAACCCAAATCTCCCAGCTCGCCCCAATAAGGTCATCATCACAAGACGATAATGATAATTGCAATCGCGATGCCCAGATTTGAAGAACAAAGTTGTCGCGTTCGGCTTGTGTTTGTTGGCTGATACTGCCTGGTGAGAACAGTCGTATGCATTGATAGACAAGAAGTGCTTGGACTGAAGGAAGCATTCGCAAGTCGGCGGTATCGTGACTTAGTGACGCTGCATCTAAGACTGCGACAATGTTGGAGGCGCGCCTTGTAATCTCAGAATCAACGAAGCGCACGTTAGAAGTATTTCGGACGGCATGCAGTGCACTGCCAGCTAACGCGTCGCGCAACGCATCTGATGCCAGAGTCTGTGACGAATGGACGAATACATTGGATCCCTTGTCAGCCAGTGCCGTCGACTGCAGCGACATCAAATGAGCCAAGAATTCTGCGCGCGCCGTATAATCGTTTGCCGTGTGAGGATGATGTTCTGCAGAGTCGAGCTGCATGCCATATGCTTCAGTCGCAGAGGGCATCTGAAGAGGGAGCAAGACATTGTCAAATGAATCACCGAGGAGCAGGCTGAGCGGAGGCGGCACAGGCGTGACGGTGGGATACGAGCATTCTACGCCTTTCGCTGCGCAGCGCCTGCAGCTGGGGAGACTGAGACTGCAGCGGCGTTTGGAGCGTGCGCAAGCATTGCAAGACTTTCGCCGTAGAGACTGTCGCATCGCGACAATTGATGAGGGGATGTGAATGCAGTTGGGTTTGCTAAGGCGCGCAACGGCATTAAAGAGGTCCAGTGAAATTTAGAGTCTCATAGTGAGCCGTTCACCGAAAAAGCGCTGTAAAACGAATCCCGCCCACGGTCGATGGATCCACTCCGCCAAACAGCGGATCATTTGGGGAATGGCAGAATCCAAGTGACGATAATTCCCTTGGATAAGTCTTACATCGCTCAAAGCTAATCTCGCATGTCTTTCTTCTTACGCAATTCCTTTGGGGTCACATTTGACGCTGTGATTCATAGTCGGCTCTCTGAACCAGATTCCATGGTCAGATATCTGTTGGCTACCTTAGACAGTGAGTGACCAGGAGCGGAGCGGAAAACGACTGCAGGGTCCACTTTTGGCCGCCTACTGTAGCCTGTAGCACTACTAAGTTCTGTCTGCTGGTTTAAGCTCTCAGCCACAAGCCTCAACTGTAAATAACACATCTAGCTAACAACTTAGACGCCTGTAGCACTACTCCGTATGCATTCTCATGAAAACAGATGCGTCAAGCAGAGCCTCTGGGTATCACAAATCCCTCATCTGATCATCGTCAGCGCTGCCAAGATGCGCAGCGTAGCACTTGGGCACTCGGGGACCCGCTTTCCCTTTCTTTTTGATCCTTACGACATCTTTTGATCTTTGCTTCAGGCACAAGTCCACGCTACACCAGAACAACAACATCATCATCCTCTCCAGTTTTATACCTTCTAGTAAAGGACGTTGAGACCTCGTACGGATATAGCCTAGGTGGTTGTCATCCAATCGATATCGCGTGGTACTTAAATTTGGATATGACATCTTCTCAACCATCTGGCTTGCCCGCGAGGAAATTGCGTGCAAGCATGTCGCTGTCGAAGTCGGCATAGCAAATCCAGACTACCGGGAAGTGGACATCATATCATCGTAGAGACTCGGAGATTATAGTAAATGGTGCATCTTTCCGACACTGACCTTACGATCCGACCTCCATCTAGGGAACTTTCTTCTAGGTTTACCATTTACTCAACCATCTTTCAGATACGCAGATGTACGAGAAATTTGGTTCACCAAAGCCCGAACCCATTGCCCAAGACGGATAACCTCTTCCACCAGGCGTACCTAACCACGTCTACTGGCCTATTTAGATGGCCAAGGGAGGCGACAAGATCACACTCTCTGAGTCAAAGATCCACCTCGTCGACTTCGGTACAGCATTCTATCCTGATGGATGCGATCTTACCGCCCTGGCGATCGCCCAACCGCCAAGCAAGTTTCAAATACAGATTAGACGGAATATTGGGCGATACCTGAGCTTGAGAAAATTAAAAAATGAACCGAACAGTCATAACACATTTCAGATCAATAAATTGCATGAATACTCCTGGATTGTTCCGTATATAAGCTACTATCGTATGACTATACTAATACAGCGGTGTAGGCCCGCGTCAAATTCGTTCGCAGTGCGTTGCCAAGCCTGCCTTGTCCTCTTCAATCATTCTCTTCACCTCACACTGAGAACATTCCGATGCTGGCAAAAATCCATCCAAATCCCGAATCTCAAACTGACAATCTTTCGCCTGGTCAATACGTTCGTAGAGAACTCCCTGGCATGACAAAAGTTCATCGCATGACAAAAGATCCTTGCACGCAATGCAATAGTACTTCGTGAAAGTGACTCGGCACATTTTGATGTATGGAAAGGGATATGTTGAGAGTGTGGGTGAGGATGAGGATGGAGATGAAGATTTGGATGCTTGGAGACGAGAGAGGAGGGGGGATATATATACTATTCTTCTTTTCGTGATATCGTGGGCTACTGCGGTGTTCAGCAATCAAGTCAGCTAAAATATCAGCTGTTCAGGGATCAAACGCCACGAATGCGTTGCGATCCTCCTATGTTCTCCTCTGTTCACATTTCTTCTTTCTTTCCAGGTAGGGTGGACACTGTTTTCATAGGCGATTCAAATTCATCTGTTCCGACAGGTTCTGCACCGCCTTTCTCTTTCTGGTCTGGATAGGCAGAACACTCTCTCTTCTTTGAATACCGAAGGATTCCGTCGCACTCAGTGCAAAATATACTGGCCATCACTGCAACTCAAATGTTTTGAAAGTCAATAGTTTTCCTTTTGATGACACTTAACTGATGGGTGAATATAATGAGGAATAGGCTAATCTTCGTAGGTGTCCAAGTAGTTGGGGAATCTCTCAGAAATCATCCATGTACCCTAATTTGACTATGAATCACAGATCTTCGGTACATAACCAATCCATCACTTGCTCATGTATTTGTGACACCGTCTTTTTCTGCCTCTTTTCTTTTCTTTTCCCGGCACTTTCGGCATTTTTTATTTGGTCGACGTTTGTCTATGGTCTGGATGCTAATCCTGCATCCTCCTCTCGGCTCCCCCGGATGCTCATAGCATCCATGGTCTGTTCTCCAGCTGAGAAGATGATTGCATGTTGTGCATCGGAAGTTAGTATATTTTGTAAAACACATTTTCTAACAAGTATTCGAGCGGTTTAAGTATTCTTTAATATGGCGTTTGATTTTATCTGAATTCGAGGTTTGGAGAAAGGAAAGAGATGCGGGATGAAACCGCTGCTTTATATAGTTTTGTATCTATGATACGTGAATCACATATCCATCTGATCGTCTCCTTCACTCATGTGCTCTTGTGTGTACATGTTTGTGACTCAGCTTTGTCGGTTCTTTTCGTTCGCCTTCTTCCTTCTTCAAGCAGGTGTTGCAATGCCAATAGCCTATGTCCCTACTCACCGTCTCGCTTGTGGGTATACAGCTTCCAGATCTTCTCGCTTGTGACACCTAGCCAGCTGATACAAGAGTACAGACACTTGAAAAGTTCGATTCAGTGTCATCAAGGGTGGCTTCTTTCATCCTCGCTGAATCAGCCTTCTACTCATCTTGAATCTCCCCCTCCTTCACAGCACTATGCCCAAACTTTGCTAACAGATCTTCCAGTGATGGTTCAGAGGAGCCTTTAACAAGCGCCAAGATTTCTGTCGTTTCCTCAATATTCAAAGCAACCTTCCCATACTTCTTCGCCAAATCAGTGCCGTATACAAAGAACTCGTATCCATGAGCTCCGACAACGTCAGGTTTGTGTGAAGAGGTACACTTGATGTCAGGTAACTTTGCATCTCGATCAGGCATAGCTTCACTATGTTCAAGACCACGGTCGGACAGACACATTTGCTCACGAATGTAGTTGCAGTCGAAGAAGATAGATCCGCCTGACCAAGCGTATCCGTTACCGGTCAGACAAGTCGTCCTTTTGAATGTAAGGATTGCCTTCTGCGACACGCCGCAGTAATCATGAGGGTCCTGGTCGTTTGTAACACAAGTCTTTGGACCTTTGGGCAGGCCCCCAAACTTGGCGGAACGAAAGGTCTCGTTGTCTTCACAGCACTGCCCTGCTCGGCGGTTGTAGCAGCGGTGGTAAGAGCCTTGACAGTTATGTGAGGCCCAGTAGTTGGTGATTGTTGATGCGTTGCAAAGAACGATAGCAAAGCCGATGATAAGTAGAAGGTGTCGAGACATGTTGGCAAATCTGTGAAGACGTTATTTGGATACAGAATTGTCCGCACTTTTATACTTGTCCTGGACATCTGGAAACCAAGCACAGTGTCTGACATTTGAAATTTATTGCCGAATATCCGTGTTTATCATTGCCTCCTCTTGAAAACATGCAGGAATGATACGATCTGCAGTAAAGAATCTTGCCGTTTTAACCGGGAACCTATGTTGACTGAGCTCCTATTCTACTGATAAGTCGGTACAAAGTAATTCCCGCTACACTATGCCTAGTATTGACCGGAACTCTTGGATGAAGTAACTTCTGTTTTGATTCGTCCAATACGCCTATGACGCCTATGCCTCCTCAAGCTTTTGACAGCCAAGTATCTATAACAAAGCTTAGTTTTGACTGAACATTGTAATTCTTTTCTTGAATCTACTAATCGCTTTTAGAGATGATGTTCTGTGACATAGTTGGCAAATTGATGCAAGAGTTTAGTCTCTTTTACTTCTTACTGAGTATCTCATGGCCAACCCATGCGTCCACTATGGAACCAGGTAGCCCCCCTCGCCAACTTCTTTCAGCTCCACTAGCTGCCATTCTAAGGTATCTGGAGCCAACTATGAATGAATTAATCACAGAGTAGTAGCTTGGCATGGCGATCTCGTATATTTGGCCTGGATAGTCTATGTTAGGCTCCTCAAACTTTATTACCTTGGGGAATCCACCTTTGCTGCTGCATGCCACCCTCCATATTCGGATCCGTCGGTCCTGTCAAGTCATCCACGTGTTGATCGACGTCCTTTGACTACATATAATATTATTGAAATCCACAATATTGTAGTCTCTCTGGACTTCATTGATTAATATTGTTCCCAAAAGGGCCTAGACGAAGGGGTTGATTTAGTTTTAATTTACAAACACAATTTTACTATCATGTTCGAACTTTCAGCGTCTTTCTATATGCTCGATAAACCCAATATTTGTCTGGTGCCTCATTCCAGGCCTGATTGCTCGTTATCAACCGTAGAAGAGTTAATAACATGGCAAGAGGTAAACCCTGATTTTAAGGCTTAATTACTAAACGTCAAAAAGCTATTGTGTAACTGTTATAGAGGCCTGGCAATGATTATAGTTTAATATGAACCTTTACCGATCGCGTTTATATGTGTGGGATGCATCGTGTGAGGCCGAGTTGTATCGTCTTGGTGGGTGCATCAGAGCACTTTGAACCTGCGAATACGGCTGAATGAGTTATCTTTTGAAGTTTAATACTATGCATATACATATTTCAATGGCTACTGAGATGAAATAATAGATTATCAGATATAAGGCAGCTGTGTAATTTATAGCTTAACCTATGACTAAAAGCTTGTATTAGCACAGACAACTTAGTGCCAGAGGCATTTACCATACTCTATGAAAGATCTGCTAATTTGACGTCTATGCTGATGAGGAACCAGTAGCAGCCCATCTAGGACGCCCCCTTCCATGGCAACACTCGTTTAGTCTTAAGGTTACTGAGACTTGTCACTGGTTTCGCTTTGGAAGGTTACATCCATGGTTAGTAACCTGAGGACATATTCTTGTCATATCTACCATTGATCAGGGCACGTATATATGAAACGTTTTCTTTGTCACTTCTAACTCATTGGACACTATATACTTGGAAGGAGACTAGTTCCGCAGCGGTTTTGCAAGACAACTTGGGAAGCACCATCCTCACGACTGCATCTAAGCACAAGCAGTGCAGACAGCGGCAGCAGAAGCCTGAACCTGAAGAGCCTCGAGGAAACCGCAGTTGTCAAGGACACAGTTGATGGCTGAAGCCTGAATGGCGCTGGAGCTGGCGCACTGGCAAGCAATGTCGCTGCAGCCAACAGCGGAGGCGGCGGAGGTGATGCAAGGAGCCTTTGAAAACACTGTTAACACTTGAAAGACCGCGGGTTTTCAGGATTCACTTACACCGCAGGTAGGGATAGCAGAGGTCTCAGGGCAATCAGTAGGGTTGGCTTGGGGCATGGCAAAGGCAGTGCCGAAGAGAGCAGCGACGAGGAAAGAGGTAGAGAACTGCATGTTGAAGAGTGGTTTCTGATTGATAGTTGGAGACTGAGTTGTAGAGTGTTTGTGTTGAGATGAGTTGTTATCTGTTTTGAGGACAAAGCCTCAGTATTTATAGACAAATTCTCTTATAGTGAATCACATATAAACATGGACTTCCTGTCTCAATCACGCCTGTTCCCCTGAGCTCGGCATTCTCAATTTCCTTCAATGAATCAGAGGCCATGTGAGCCCTATTCCCTGTCCAAGAGATCCCTGATAAACTGCACTTCCCCACGATTTCGCATGCCGTTGTAACCTCAATGCCAGGATTCCCCTCGTTTCTCGGCCAGTCGAGAACGGCACAGCTTTCCCCATGGGGCGCTATGACCTATGTAGATCTTTAAAGGATCGCAATTAAGGCCCAAAGCGGGCGATCGGCCGATACACGGATTTCGCACGCCGAGGAATGTAACTCTGAAAGCTCTTCGTCGGTCCTACATGTGAAGTATGCTGCTTAATTATGTAAAAGGCAGTCCGTAGGATGCTGGCGCCGTTTGGTGCGTTTGTAGTTGCTGCGTGAATTCTGCTTCGGGAATTGTCACATGCTGAAACGGAACGAGGAGGGGAGAATATGCCGCTGCCTGGAAATGCTGGGGACTAGTACAATCTGAGTCCTGTCAATATTACCTTCTTATTTTGGTTTCTGAAGCATATCGAAAGAAACAGACGTCGACCACGTACGGTCCGTTCGTGCGGACATGAGCTCAGTTCTTCACCGGACAAACAAAAGTGCCAATCAAGTTATCACGAGCTATCAGAGGCTTAGAGCTATTGGGATATAGTGAAGCGTAGATTGCCTAGCAGAATAACTATACTTTTCTAGCCATTGGCCGCCAGATCGTAAAGTTGATGGAACAAGTCTCGTATCCTTCTTTTATCATTATCATTCTCCAGATCACTGATCTTATACAGTTCCCTGTGCAATGGATGGAACTCTGTCTCGTGATACCCGCCTCTCGTATGCCTGTCACACCACATCCTTGGGGCTGGCCTGAGCCAATCGATGTGTACATGTATCTTCGACATTTGACATAAAACGTCCATCAACAAGAGCCACCCTGTCAGATCCGATACAAAGATATCGTGGAAGGCCACACGCTCCAGGGTGTCTTCGTGTCGCCTTATGACGTCTACTAATTCGCTCGGACGACAATATCTGCAGCTGAGTGTGAGCTCTTTGAGCCCTGGTATTTTGAATGTCGAGAGGTAGAGTACCTCATCAATCGCCATATCAAAGTCCAGTGCTAATTTCGATAGCTGGGGGAAGCACGAAAGCAAGTGGTTAAACGCGCCGTTTGGCCAAGCCCGACGCCCTGCGTATACAGTCATTTTCAAGGACTTCAGGCCTGAGATGGCAGCGGGCCCTGCCATGCAGACATCATATATATCGAGGGGTCTGCAACACCGGTAATGAAACCCCCGCAAGGGTTTGTGGCAAACCTTATCGGCAAAAATCTCGACATTCTCTATGCCAAATTCGGCGCTCAAGGTAAATATATACCCAATCAAATATCGGATAAACCAACTAGCTTTCGTAGTTCGCAACTCAAGATAGTCCTGGAGTTCGTAAAGCTCGTGTCTCTTAAGTTTACTTAAGCCCCAAGGTCGTTGGGTATTGGTGAGCGAGATTGTATTGCAATTCGGGAGTCTCTTAAAGGCCTGGTCTAAGGCAAATATGAAGGATAATGACGGTAACCGCTGGGGTATATCCTTCATGTTCTCGAACCTTATCTCCTTCACTATCGTTATGTTAGCACATCTTAAATCTTGTTCCTGGAGTTCAATGTCGTGCTTACCTCCAAAGTTCAAGCGGGCTTCGCATTCTTCCTCAACTCCGAGCCAGTTACCTCTCACGAAGCTGGGTGCGAAGCCAACCTTTCGAACACAGGAAGCGAAGACAGGATGGTTCGCGATGGACACGAGATTCTGCACACTTTTCTCATGGAGCATGATATTACGTGTGTGAAAGAATCTCTTCCCAAACGTCCCCATCGTGACTTCGTTGAACCGTTTGCAGGTCTGTCGTAGAGCGGCGAAGGTGGATAGCGGCACTTCAGCTACCGCCATCAGGATGAGCTCATTAGGCAGGTCCTGCATGGAAGCCATAGTGGCATTACGTGGAGTAAAGGGATTAATGGAATGAGTGCTTGCTCATGATATGAGCATGGTGAGAGAAAAGGAAGTGAGCATGGCAGACTGAGATGATCACTTTATATTGTGCATTGAGGCCAGATTATAATCTTAAAAATTCTTACCTGAACTAACCTAGCTAAGTTTTGTCTGAGATTTAAGCTCTCAGCCAAAGGCGTCTTTGGCCAGCCTTGGAGGTATATAAAATGCTCCAATCCGTCGGCCAAAAAGATTAGCTCAACACCACAAAAACCCCAGATCTCCCATACATGGACAACAATATCCCCAGCATAATCCAGGCGTGTCAATAGGGGTTATAGGCTTCCGCCAAGGTACATAATAGCTCCTGGTCGCTGTCGTGTTTTGAAAGCTTCACAAAGTTCGACATCGGAGTCACCATTCCCCCCCTCAGTGATTTCTGCATAATGTCAGAGTTTTGAATTCGCTGTGTAGTTTACAGTTGAGATCTGTGGCTTGTATCACCACAGAGAACGTGGGCGGTTTCTCCGAAGGACGGGTCATCACGACATCGGCCGTATACTGTAGTAGTTGGTTGAACATCGTGGTATGATTCATAAGTTGTGAGCCACATGTGAGATCTGCAGTTGAGACATGCGGCTGATGGCTTAAATCAGAACAGAGAGCTAAGTGGAAGGCTTTTGAGGAGAACTTTATATTATGAAGAAAGAATATCGTGTTCCTGTCATATGTTATCCGCCTAAAGCTTAACCTTCGCGGCAGCATTCAGGCACACAATTGCGCCTTGTAACCCTATCTTCTTTACTGCCGAATACTTGGACCGATATCGGCCCAGTAAGCGCATTTCCTTTGTAAATCGGGGCTAGTCTTCACCATCATCGTTTTCCCGCCTGTCTCAAACTTCAGCCGCCTCCGGCCTTTTTCAGTCCATCTGTCCCACCTGGCAGCACTCTTATCGCGATGCTTATTCGGATCCAAGGTCCGAATGAAGCTTGTCCAATAGGCTTGGATCACGGGTACGACAGGGACATTCTTCCCGCCATTGAGGTAGCTGGCTGGCGAGCCCGGTCCAGGTCCGAACACGGCTTGATTCTCGACGACATGGGGAACACCGTAGCCTGCAGCCATCTGAGCGGGGTCCTGGACGTCATACCAATAGTTCCAAGAGTTGGGAACGCTGTGGAATGGCAGTGCATTCGAGATATATAATGATGAGCACATGTATCTCATATCGCCATAGACGTCGCTGACCTGACGCCACCAGCATCCAGGGTTAGGGCAAGACTCGTTTTTGTTGGGATAGAGTTTGTTGATTTGCCTCAGCTGCTCGGTAGTTATGAAGGGAAAGTTTGCCTTCATAAATTCGTTGCTTTGCACCAAAGAAGACGTATTCACAGGCGTGAATACAGTACCTCCATTAGTGTCGTCGCCAGCCATCAGAGGGACTTTTACGAACTTCCCCTCCTCAAAAACCTGATAGGTTACATTAGGCACGAGCTTGCCATCGATGCTCGGAGTCCACATGAAAAGAGGCGGCGTGGTGCTGCCTAGGTTTGGAAGGTTCTTGTTTGCCCTCTGAATGTCCCGGGGCGGCTGCACTTGAAGGCAGTCAAGGATATTCTTCTTCGTACCAAGGCAGCCTAAACGCACACCCAGAGTATTGAACTGATACACAGATTCCTGCTCGGTGAGGAGAGACCCGAACGAGATAGATTGGGCAATAGCACCGTGGAAAAGACCTTCATCCTTCCCTCCATAAGCGGTGAGATGCAGACTGACACTCGCAGCACCAGCAGACTCGCCACCAATGACAACATGGTCAGGATTCCCGCCGAACTTGGAAATGTGCTTCTGAACCCATTGGAACGCCTTTCGCTGATCGTGGAGACCGACGTTTGGTGTGATCTGTTCACCGTCGTTGAGAAAGCCGTATACACCGACGCGATAGTTGATGGAAACGACGATCATGTCCAAGTCGCCTGCAACGACCAGAGCAGTGCCGTTTGCGTTGGCATTTGAGTTGCCATTGAAGCCGCCGCCTTGGATATAAATATATACTGGAAGGCTGTCCTCCACTGAGGCTTTTGTTGGTGCCCAGACGTTCAGGAAGAGGCAGTCTTCGGCCACAGTATCGCCAATGGTGTTGGGGTCAGAATCTGTTCCGATGCATGCTCTTCCCCGCTGCAGAGTGTTAACAGGGGTCCTTGGGCCGACGGAGGAGTGACGTGACCTACCTTGGTGGCATCCTGGACAGCTCTCGTGGGGACAGGATCCTCGGGGAGCTTGAACCTGCGGTGCCAGGTCGGAGTGGCAGCATATCGAATACCAAGCCATTCCGAGACACCGTTGTCAAGGACGTGGCCTTTGTATCTGCTGTACCCGACATCAACCGTGGTGCTTACAGCAACAGACAAAGGCAGCAGTGCGGCCAACAGGATTATACGATATAGCGACTCCATGTTGAATACCTGTCGGATCATCCACATATTCGTTCAACTTGATCGCAAACTACACGACTCTAATACTGTCTTCGGCAGCCAGAAGTGGACCCCGGTCGGTCCATCACCGGCCCTTTTACATCTGCCATGCTTCAAGCCGTTAAAACTAACAGGCTAAAACTCACGAGCTTTCACCGACCGGCGTCAAGGTTACTGTATTTGGTCAAGCTTTTCGAAATCTGGGGAAGCGTTGATGAACCTTGCGGGGGAAATGTAACGCAAGATCTTGAAATGGCATGGCTCGCCGGCATCATGGCACGGAATACCGGAATAACATGCACCGATACTGCATGACGTCGAGAGAAGTTCAGGTCCGTTCACCGATGAGAGAGAAGAGTGTTTGCCGAGGTGCTTGGATGTAGAACGGGAATATTAGTTGGAAATTTGCCGTTTGAGTTAGGTACTGAGTAGACAACATCACATTCCTGCGAGACGCACAACCCTTTTTCGATTGGTACGACTTGTTTCACTTTCTGGGTCGCGTAATTACTTGCAAGCGACTCAGAAAGCTCATGCAGGCTAGGACCGCACGTCATACAGTAATACAGACGGGTAACGATATTAGATATCACAATACCCCACTT